GCTTATACTCTCTTACAGACTCTAACTTTAATAAGGAATTCATTAATAGTTATATAGGAGATAATGTTCCTTATAATTTATCAGAAGTAATGTTTATTTGTACTATTAATAAAATTCATTATTTATCTAATAAAAGTGGAGATTGCCAAAATTATATAATTTCTAATTATCTTAAAAATACAAGTTTTCTGCTTATAAAATAACTTTTCAGAAAGATGCAATTAGAAATATAATTAGCAATTATACTACTAAAAAGAAGGAGAAGGAAAGTCTAAGAACTAAGTTGATAGATTTATACATTTTTCACAAGTTTTTGGTTAAGTTAGAAATGGATCCTTTTCTTTAAGAGGAAATTACTCCCTCTAATTTGCATGAATTTTTGAATAAGCAGGACTATGAACATTTTAATTCTAAGTAAATTCATGACACTAAACGGGCACATGACATTATCCTGATTGACAAATAATGAAAATTTATGTAACAATCTTCAAATCATGATCACAATAATCATAATAATTATTATAACAAACTTTTTAATATTATTGTAGATCGATTAAAGGAAAAATTCTTTTATTTTTATTTCTTCTATTTTTTCTTATTTAATTTTATTTTATTTCTTTCTGCAATTACTTCTTATTATTTTAAATTTACTTCATTAATTGTATTTTTATTTTTATTATATATTATTTTTATTTTTATTTTCATTTGGTCTTAATAATATGATAATTCTTGAAAATCGTTTCAAATTTAGAAAAGATGTTTATGAAATTTCTTTTTTTGTATCTTTTATTTTTTTATTCTTCCAGAAATTATTCCTTATTATTTTAAATTCTTTTCGTAAATTGTATTTATATTTTGTATTATATATTATTTTATTTTTATTTTGCCTGATCTGAATAAATATTTTCATTTATGATGTTTCGTATATCTGTTAATCGATTTAATTTAAGCTATGATTCTTTATAATCTTGATTTTGATACTTATCATTATATTATTCAGTGATAAGATTGAAAATTAAAACATTTACACAGAAATCACATTATTTCAAAAACAAATTTAATCCTAACACACCATTCTGAATTCGATAATTATTGTACACCCAAATTTTTTTTAAAAAAGAATTTGATTATGAACAACAAATATAATCCGCTTTATTTATTTCAGATCATATCCGCTTGACAGTATGGCAGACGTAATTCTAGTAGTTACCTTAGTTTTAATGCAAATGAGTATTGGAAAAAAATTGTCTTAGATTATTTTAACTTGAATAGTCTCGATTAAACTAAAATACAAAACATTATCTCGGACACATTAAATTTTGTCAATATTGGGTGATAGTCTTTTTGATTTTGTAGATGTAACTATAATAAAAAAGTCTGTATCATAATCTAAAGGGCCATGTTATACCAAAAATGCGTTAATGTCTGAAATGCGCATTTGGGATATCCTAAATGTGAAGATCGTTTGAGATATTCGCTTGCCCAAAATGCGCATTTCAGATATTCCAAATACACATTTTGGATATCCCAAATGCGCATTTTGGGTATATCCTAAATGCACATTTGGATATCCAAATGCTAATATAAAGTTTATTTACATTTTTATTTACAATTTAAATAAAAATAAAGTTTTAAATATATGAATATTAAATATAAATAAAATTTAAATTACAAGTCTGTCACTTAATAAACTCAAATAAATTGTGATCATTTAGGACAGTCCGAAATTAGTCTGAACTGGTCTTTTAGAATATTCTAAATGTTCATTTGTGATATCTGAAATGAGCATTTGGGACATTATCTGAAATGCGCATTTGGAACATTATCCGAAATGCGCATTTGGAACATTATCCGAAATGTGCATTTAGGATATTGTCTGAAATGCACGTTTGAGATATCTGAAATGTGCATTTGGGATATCCCAAATGCGCATTTCAGACATTAACGCATTTGGGGTACAACAGCCATATCTTTGAGTTGTTTTTTGATAAAAACACATCGACCAAAATAATTCTATCAAATTCGTTATTTTGTTGCAGTGTAGAAAACAAAAAAAAAAAAATAAAATTACATTTTTTTCTTATGTTTAGTATATTTATTATTACTTATTATATACTGTCATTCTCAAGAAATTTTTTTCATACAGCTTTACGTTAGACAGAAAAATAAATTAAAATTTTATTTTGCAATAACTTCCCTTTTTCGTAAGTTAATTGTTATCTCCTGTAAAAAATGGTTCCTTTTTCTTTTTTTTTTTTTTTATCAATACTCGAAATTTTGTCAATGACTTTTATCATCTGAAAAAATGAAAAAAGAGTATCTTTTATTTTTATAGATTATGAAAAAGTTTGACGTAATTAAAATTAAAAAAAAAAAATGGTAAATTACAAATTACTTTTTAAAAAACTCAAAAAATTGTTAAAGAAGATAATTATTTTCATGAATGCCAACAAGAACAACGTAACCCGCGCGACGACCTGCGACGCAGGTAGATATATTTTTGCTGTTTTGCGTCTTTATGTAATTTCTTTTTTTTTTTTTGTTCTTTACGATTTTTTACGGCAGCGCCAATTATTGGTTTAGTCATTTTAGAATAAATTTTTTTTAAAAAATAAATAGTATTAATAACATACAGATTAATATGAGATTTGCTGCGCAAAATACATATCCATTGAATTTTTTATAAAACATGGTTGCAAAACCATTAAAAATCAAAAATTCGAAATGACCGAGTCATTACTGTGCCACACGAATTGTCCCACTTCATATTTATTCTATCAAAGCCAACTAATGAATCATTCGGTTACACTCGAGTTACGTTATTAATTTTCAAAAAAATAAAAGCGTTATTTTTTTCAATGTTTCTTTAGTTTTTGTCGAATCAATTCTTTACATCAGTTTTATGAAATATTGCGATATTTTCCGATTTACTATTTTATTATATGAAATAAAGTAAGTATACGCCCTTCGTTTACTAGGCGGCGAATTACAATTGCTAAAGAATTTTCAGGTATATTAAAATGTGTCGAAACATATAAAAATTCAAACATATTTACCGCCAGAGGTTGCACCTAATTTAATAATTAATTTTGTTAAGTAATAAAAGATTCGGGAATTTTTAATTAAGGGTAATTATTGTGATGAAATTAGGTGAATTACAAAGAATTATATTTTTTGAATTGATAAAAATGATAGTTCTCACAAAGTTACACAAATTAAATTGAATAACGATCTTTACTTATTCGAGTTATTTGGTAAACAACCCTTTATTTTATCATTTCTTTATATTACCAGAATAATGTTTCAATTGATTTCGTCGGAAAATGGATGATATTATTGTTGACCTAAGAAGGAATTGTAACATATTATTTCGAGGCTTCAAGGAAATAAAACCACAAAAATAATTGCATTGTTTTCCTTATTTTTGATACTTGATCTCGCGCAAAGGAATTTTAAATATGTATGAAATATATTCAATTCGTTTAATCCGAACAAAGTAGCTGATAAACGTGAGACAGTACTTTTCAAATTTCTTTGAATTGTGGTGAACGAACCCCTTGTTAATATTGCACGAAATTTATTTGGATGATGCATTAATGCATTCTAACAATATAAAGTTTTTTTTTGTTTTTATGAACAAGAATTTGATAATTGCCAAATAGTGAATAACGGTAAGATTTGTCGAAGATATAAAACGTACCTCTTTGTAGAATCAGAATTTTCAAAAAAAAAAAAAACCTTCAATATCTAATAATTCCAATAATTTCAAAACAATTAAACAATTCAATAATTGAAGGTCATTAGAAATTTTCAAAAAAAAAAAAAAAGAATTTTATCTCAAAATTTCTAAAAATTTTCAAATAATTAAAATAATTCAACAATCGCCTTCAAAATGAAATCCCAAAGTCTCTTGGTTATCGTATTTTTCTTGACAATTTTTTATTCTCTGAACTTGGTCAATAGTTTGCCAGTAAAAAAGGAGTAAGTAACTTTTTATTTTTTTATCTTTACTATCAACTGATTTATTGATAATGACGAATCATTTTCATATCAAATAAAATAGTTCATTTGAAATCACTCGATTCGGAAGAAATAACCCACCGGTTCACGGCGGTCAAGATAACAGTTAAATTTTTATTCATCTATAATTTTATAAAGTTTTGTTTTTTTATTCAACTTAAAATGTCGCTTCTTTTATATTAATTTTAATTCAAGTATTAAAATATCAATAAGCTTATTTTTATATTTTACAATATATTTGAATAAAATATATATTTAAATATCTATTTTTTTATTGTTGTGGAAAAAAAAAAGTCTCGTTCATTGTAAATTTAAAAATGCCTCGTTCGATTTTATGCGTATAAATGTGTGGTCTACTTTTTCACAGAGAGATGTAATAAAAAAAACGAGACTAATTTCTGTATTTTGTAACATAAGGTCAAATTTAGAAAATCTAGTTGCTTGCCACACATGGGTATGATTTTGACACGTAAATACATCAATTACAGAAAAGAAAATTCGTTCGCATTGACACCGTCAACTTTCTTACACCTGTTTTAACGATAACGTATAATGAATGAAGTCATAAGTGTTTGAAGCAACTATATGAAATCAAGGATAATAAATTTAATGTTTCAATTATTTAACTTCCAGATATCTAATACCTTTACAAACAATCATTGACGATGCAAAATCTATATTTTTTTCAAGCATACCCCTGTGAAAAAGGAAAGTTCTGTAAGTGTGTATACGTTAAAAATTGAAATTGATTTACGAATAAATACTATTTGGGTATTTGAAATTAAAAAAAAAGATACGAAACAATTTGAATTAGGGTATCAGAAATTAAATTTCTGTATTTAACACCAAATAAATGTCCACAATTTTTTAAGTAATTTTTTGAAGCTGTCAAATGTATTTTTGAAATCAATTATATTAAAAAAAAGTTATATGCGATCTATATGACAAATTTCAATTATGCTTTGTCAAAAGAGCATATATTACTTAATCCTCTGTCGCACTAAAGTGTCACTCATCCTAAAAAAAAATAGTTAGTTGTAAACAATAAAATTAAAAAATTTCAATAAATGTTAGTTTACATGCCAAAATTAATTTGTTTTGTATAATTAGTTGAATCCTTTAATGCTACACCTTTAGTAGGAATTAAAAGAGAAGCATTATTTCGTTTACTCTTAAATTGATGCTGATAGGCGGATACACCTGCAATTATCATCTGCTCATCAAGTGTGACATCAGATTCAACAAGATTGTGAATACCTGTTGATCTCATTGATATTACGATCTTTAAAATCCAAATCTTAATAAATAAACCTATCCACATTGTTGTATTTAAATTTCTTGATCTTTCTGAAATTTTAAAATTGTTTCTTTAGTCGATGAAACAAATCGCGTTGTCATTATTAATGTAGAAAAAAATAATGCAAAAGAAAGTTTAAATCGCTAATCATGCATATACATAATCACGTGTTATATTTAATGAGTTGACACGCTCCCTGGGGATTACCCATTTATTTCATGGGGTTAGGAATACCATGGTTTTTTCCCTTCGGGAAAAAAACCATAATATTCCTAATCCCCCATGAAATAAATAATACAAATTTAACATATAATATAATAGACCAATTATTAAGCAAATTTACACTAATATTTATTAATTTATCAAGGTCAATATTTAAACTTTTATAAATAATTTGATATCATGACTAAATGTGTTTTATAAAATGAAAAAAAAAAAAATGGCTCCAATACTTTATTATGAACATTTCCGTTTCTGAATTAATAAATTAATTTTATTTTCTTTAATAATAGTAGCATTCAGGCAACATATTAATTCATCAAGGTGTAATTAATCTATCAGACTTCGGATTTTCGAAAAGAATTGAAGCGGAAACCAAACATTTTTGTAGTAATTCCTTATGTTGATCCAAAAAGATTTTGTAAGCGAAGAAAAACAACTCAACAATATACGTTGAATAAAAGTGATGTTTACGTACTCTTATGGGAGATATCAAGTGATCGACCACCTTTTTATGTTAACGATGAAGAATAGACGACCGATTATTGCTAAAGTGAACCTAAAATTTTATCGACACAAGTAACTTTTTCAAAAGAATAAAGTGGAGATTTGTAATTCAAAGGGTTTAAAGAATACGCTTTTGATAAGTATATAATATTTCGTTTCATGAGACTACTAAATGAAATCGTTAAAGAACCAGATTATATATTTAAAAATCAAGAATAATTTTATTGCACAATTCGTTCAATAATCACAAATTGAAGCGGCTCAATGGAAGTCGTTAATCCATTTACTTAAGGTATCAATAACGACCAAAGATTCAATTAAGTAATGCTAAAGTTGTTTTAACTAAGACTACTTATTTTGTGTTTCTTTATTAATATCTAATAAACAAAAATATCAAAAGATAATTCCACAAAGTTTGTAAATCCCTACAAACCTCCATCATCACCACCATCATCGTATTGATTTCCACAGAAATATTCAATATCATCAAAATACCATCAGTACAAGTATAATGATTTTAACATTCAAGAATTTTTGAATTATCATCTTCAAATACAATGTCCGCACCTTCCCTTCTTTATCTCAAGACCTTGTCTTTATCTTCTACTCAGGCCTCATGGACCGTATTAAATTTCCAGAAACCATGAATACATGCTTTTGGGATCTTAAAGATTTTACAAGGCGGAAGGAAGGTAAACCGGGAATATCGCGTTTACATTCATTCAAATGCTAAGGTACCCTGCAAATTTTCAATGGATTAAAATAATATTTATTGTTATTCATTTATTTTACATGTCTTGCATCATTTGATCAATGATTTCGGTAATGTCTCTAAAATCGTGACTCATGTGATAATTTTTCTCTGAACTCACAGCTCCCCACAAAAAGGATCTCAAACTTGCAGTAACATTATAAAGGAGGTTATGATAATTGATGGTAATTAACTGATAGTAGCTAATAAAAGTAACTGAACCCTTTTCAAATCATATAAAATTTTACCATAAATGAGAAAACGAAAAATTCTGTGTGAGATCTACTTAGCTTTTTGGTATCTATCTTTTTTTAAACAACTCTTGCGAAAACCCAAATTTGAGATTGTCGACTCTTCCTATATTTCCTTGATGCTTTTCTGAAACCACTTTTGATGAAGAGATTTTCTTACTCATTTCCAAATTAATTGCTCTATTAATTCTCCTGATAATGGTTGTGCTACAAATATTATTGGATTTTGACAAACAAGGATCAAAATATTCATATAAATAATTTAAACATTAAGTAGCAAAAAAAACAAAGAATAATTACCGGAAATTCTGATGGAAGCATAAGTGTAGTAAGGATAATAGATTTTTACTTTCTCGTAATTCTGACCGTATCAACTTTATTTTAAAAATTAACAATTTTTATATTAAAAATTTTTTAAAGTACTACGCGATTAGTGCAGTACATGTGACCATATTAAAAATAGCGTAAAAGCAATTGTCCTGCCTTATAAAATTACATGCGCTTGAAAAAATATTATCTTAAAATGTAAATTTGCGTGAATAATGATTTCTTAGCTTTTGTTAAATAATTTTTTTTTTTCGATTATACGCGTTCTAAAATCAATTAGAATCGATTTATAGAAACCGACCGAAATCGAATCTTAGTATCGAAACTCAAGAATAAGTAATAAAAATTAATCAATTCTAAACTACTTTTTGATGTTAGTTGTTGGCATTGGTGCTTCAATATTCTACGCTTTAGATCCAATGAATCATGGTTAAAAATTGTGGAGCAAATATGCGAAGACAACTTTATGACTTTTTTAAGAAATGTATAGAGAATATCACATAATGTTCATTATCAAAATACTCGAGAAATCTTGTTGCTAAAGATTGATTATCAAAAGAGGGCAAAAATTTTCAAATAATTAAATATAGAAATTTATTATTAATTTTTCTTAGCCATGCCGTACATGACTAATGTGGAGATTTTATTTATATGCAATTTAGATTATTGAAATTATTGAATTTTATGTAAAATTACAATAATTTTTTAAAAAAAAATATCCCGGGTTGATAAAGATTCTAAATATTCAACGTAAAACTAACAAACCCTAATTTACCAATAAAAGTTTCTTTCAATAAACTCAACATGGCTTTTTGCAATTTTAAAATTTTGGAAATCTTGGAAATTTGGAAATTTGGTATTCTAGGGGCGTGTTTAAAAATTGACGCGTCACCTTACTCATGATTCTAATTGTCACCACCAACTAAATAATAGTAATATCGGAAACGAGGAATAACGGCACATTTATTGAATTATACTTATTGGAAGTTTGAAAACATGGGATGGATTTCGAAAGTTCAGCCTTAGACCATGAAATTATTCTATCTAAAACTATTGAAAAACTAACGTGGTCACAGTTGCTTCATTTGAATTTTTATGTTTTAGACATTACATTTATACAAAATATGTTCTTCCCAAAAATATTAGTGAAATTTCAACGTCGTTGACGTCATTTATCAATGGTTTCTCATATTCTAAGCTGTACTAAAAACGAGGAACGTCCAAATGAAAGCTCAACGAATTCAATTAACAAAGATGATTCTATCTCAATTGACAATATCATCGTTTAGCGATTAAGTATTTGTATTTCAATAATATTGTACAATCTAGTTTTGAAATACAAATTCTATAAAAATTTGCAGCAATTACAACAGATTAATCAAATGCGTGTAACTTTTATGCAATAACTTTGATTTTTAAATATATCTATAACGAATTAAATTTGACAAATAAACAAGGGCTGAAACCACAATTTGAAATTTTCTTTACATGACTTTTTTTGGTAACTAATACAATTAACATTATTAAGTCAAATTATTGTCAAAGATAGTAGTTTACACAAGAAAAATGTGTCAAGAAGTATTTTTTCAAGTCATAAAATTTTTTTATATTGAAACTTCAAAACAATATGAAATACAAACATTGTCATTCTTTTCTTTTTAGAATGTTTGAATTTTTTAAGTTAGAACAAACAAATACAAACGAAGGCAATTTAAATTTTTTGGAAAGATCGTAAACTGGAACATAGAAAAAAAGAATGAATAAGCTAAGATACAACGATAATCATCCCTTCTGAAAATACCACCATTGAAAATCTAAAAAACGAACATTAGAACAAACATCCAATTGATGAATTTCTCATAGCAAGCAAGACTATTGCTTCTAATTTTCAAGTATAGATTATTTGTATTATATTTTTGTTACACAAGTTTTACAAAATGGTCAAAAAGAAATTAGGAAAATTTTATTTGATTGTCTAATAATTACTTTTTTTAAGCTAAATACAATAAGTTCAGGTTAAGTTTAATAATTAAAAGTTCATACAATGTACAATTAAAACAAGTAAATTTAAAAAATTATGAAATACAACAAATCAAAAAATAATAATTATTTTTTAATGTTAATCGTGTCGAACACTTTTTATAAACAATTTAAATTTATTTTATCATACACACCCTTAAAATAATATATATTAAAAATAATTACGTAAGAAAAAATGGACGTTCCTTTATTTGATTTTCACAACACCGTGATTAACTGTCTACTGCCCCTATATACATAAATTGGACAAATATGTCTGAATTAAAAAAAAATAACAAATGTCAAATTGATTAAATTATCAAATTGTATTTTAGAAAACTATTGACACGACTCATCATGTATCTTAATATGATGAAATTAACAAGCGGTGTTTTTGTCTTTCCAAATCTTGGATAGTAGATGGTACACACGCCAATATTGATGATGATCGTATTAAAATTTTTTCAGATATGCTGATCGAAATAAATATGTCTTTGTTATGAACATAAATTTGTGATTTTAAAAAATAAAGGTGTTGATTGCAACAATAGTGGTCATTCAGATACGTAACGAAAGCCAAGCAATACATATTTAGGGCAACAAGACAAACCGACGTGATCTTCAAGCGAATTTTACAAGTACCAACAGCAGTTCGCCCAAAATAATTTCTTAGCAATTCTTTTTTAGACTATACTTCTTTTGTTGTTGGTTGACATATTGAAATAGGAAAAAAATGTTTTCAGCCGCAGAAATGTCATAAAAATTTCTGGTTTTGCGTTGTTATTACTGGAATACTATTCATCACGCTAATAATTTTCATTTTTTTGTATTTGTTATTTGATAGATGTTAAAACACGGTTTAGTTTTTTATTTAATTTTTCCGAATATTATTCAACATCAATTTATATTTTTTATATTTGTTAATTTATAAATTATTGATAGGACGTGCCGAAGTACCTGGAAGTTATGGTTTTGATGCTTGGTGAATTCGTGTACGTGTAATTGATGTATTTGCTATGCCTCAAAGTGGTAGTATAGGCGTTTCCGTAGAAGCGGTTGATCTCAGATATGTTGAAGCAAACTGGACGGTATGAATTGAAGTTTTTTAGTGTATGAATTATTGAGGTTCATATCTGATTTCGATTAATGAATTTTATAGACCCGACTCGAAATGGTGGTTGGCTGGTATCACTCTCACCCTGTTTTTGATGTCGGCTGTCTAGTGTAGATATAAATACATAACAAAGTTTTGAGCCATTGAATCAAAGGGCTGTGACTGTTGTTGTTGATCCGATGCAGTCTGTCAAAGGCAAATTAGTTATTGATGCTTTCGTCAGATCAATCCTCAAATGCTTATAGTAGGTCAAGAGCCACGTCAAACCACATCCAATATCAGACATCTTAATAAACCAAGTATTCAAGTGCGATCATTAATTTAAATCTGTTTTGATTTTAAAGTTTATATTCGTTAACTCTTTGATTTATCCTTACTTAGGCTTTGATCCATGGATTGAATCGTCATTATTATTCGATTGCGATTAATTATCGAATTAGAACAGAAATGTTGCTCAATTTGCACAAAAATCGGACCCATGGATGACGTTGCCAAACTTTACGGAACACACCGAGATCAATGGAAAGAGTGTCAATGTAAAGATTTAGATTTACCTTTCCTTCCAAAAAAAATATTTTATTTTTTCGATCTGCTTATAAAAAAAATTTCAAACTTTCTTATTTTTAGTCGATGCTTACATTGGCGGAATCTTATAATAAATCGGTACAAGAGGAATCAACCATGACACATGAACAATTGAAAACTCGATATGTTGGAAAACAGGTTCAAAAGCGTCATTTAGCTGAAAATGTGGAAGACGTTATGTCCAATAATATTGGCAGTAGGAATTATGATTGATTCAGACAGTTTCATAGATACAAATCAAAAAAATAAAGTCCAGGGATAGCCATTATTAATTTACCAATTTTGTTGAATGCAAAACCTTTTGTATTTGAAAAAATTAATATTATTCTATTCAACTTTTTCAATTACGCTAAATTTTGAAATTTTAAAAAGTATAAATTACAGCATTTCATAAATCTCAACCCATGTTTAAATCTAAAATTGATCGGAAATGATTAATACCAGTAAAGTTGGTAGGCAAATTTATTAGCTGAAAGCCAATACGACAAATTTAACATATTTGGAAATAAAAAAGCATGCTTTTGTATAAATAAACATTTTTCAGTTTTTTTTTTATTTTTCACGCGATCAAACTTGCGGTTATCCTTTTTTTTCCTTTATAAAGAAACAAAAAAGCGGACAAGATTTTGAGCACATCTTTCTCATAGTACCTTATACAAAAATTATGACCAAGTTATAATGCTCTTTTCTTTTTCGCAGCCCTTTCACAAAAAAAAAATTCTCATAATGAACCGCGCCCTCCTTTCTTTCTTTCAGCGGGAGACTATCTTCTAAAAAAACTTTATTCTTGCCTAGCTGATATCTGGATTTCAAAGCTGAACCTGCTGGTAAGCTCTTTATTCTTTTTCTTTAATATAGTGCCCTATCATTATCGACAATAGTTTCCTCTCGTCATTTCGTGAAATATGGACGAATATTCTCCATTACAAAAAATAATTTTTCCTTGATATTTACACCTAAGCATCGCTGATGTTTCGATCAATCGCATCTTTTACCTTCTACGTGACTATTTTTACTTAGATTCCATAATTAATTCCCTTTTCCACTTCTTTTTTCTAGAATTTATTTTTAAATCGATGAAAATACCTGGAAATAACTATTTACTTCGTGTTCCGATTTCTAACACTTCCTTCTTCATTTTTCTCCCTATAAATAACAACTCATATAGACAAGACTAAAAAAAAATTCAAAAAAAATGTTCTGTACCTTATTAATGTTAAATGTTCTTAATTTTATTAGTCAACAACGAAGAATTGCTATGCATCTTCCCTTATGTTTATAAAACTATTTCACGGGTGGGTGCTCACGCAACCCGAGTCCTGTTGGATATCTCCCATCCTTGTAGAGCATCGAAAGTCGACCAAGCCGAGTAGTGTTGGATACCCCTTCCTTGGAACGAAGTCGATACTTGTAAGTTACTTATTTTATTTATTATATTTCTTTCTGATCTTTTAGCCTTGTCATATGAGTTGTTATATAAGTGTGCTCGTATAATTTAAATAAAGTTTACCATGATTTCTTAAAAATTTTTGTAATGTAATTATTATATAAATCAAGATTCTATGAAATATTTTATTTATTCCTTTCAATACAGTTTTCATATTTGTTATTTAAATTATTGCGAAGAGGTCACATAATAAATAATTTACTGATATAACTTTTATTGAATTGCGTATATAAATATTAAAAGTTTACAAAGAATCTTTCACCAAAAATACATAGAAAATAAATAATTTTATAATTTTATCTCTGTTATTATTTAAGGAATTTGAATGACATTATTTTTTTGTACACAAAGTCGTTTCACTGGTTATTTTTAAATTAAAAATAGTAAAATACGAAAACACAGCCGGTGACAAATATTTTATGATCACGTGATAATTAACGCAGGAAACTTCCCCAGCATCCCCAACAAAATTTCACTTTCACGTGACATTTTGGCTCGCATTATGCAATTACATGTGATAATGCCAGATTTACGTGTGACAAATAATGGCGTGACAAATAGTATTTCACTACCGTAAAAATGAAAAGTTGAGGGCGTGACGCAGGGTGACAAATATTTTATTATGATCACGTGAAAGTGAAATTCTGTTGGGGATGCAGGTGAAGATCGCAGGGGAAGATAGTATTATATTAAATCATAAAGAATTGTGATACTACTATTGCATATAGTATACGCGACATGACGCTTCTCACTATGACGTAATCATAGATCCGTTTATGTGATTATATAAACTCACCAATTTCCACTACACTTCATGATGCAAAAAATTTTTTAAAAATACAAAGTGAAAGATTCCGAGAGCCGTTCTTAATACTACGTTTTTTTCAAGTCAAGCTTTTTTATTCCTTAACCTATAGAATATTCTCGTCTTTTATTTTTCTATAGAAAAAAATTGAACTTTACTTTTTTATTTATTTCTTTCGTTGACGTACTCTAATACCAGGTAAGACTGAGTAGAAGACTGTTTGGGACTACTGATACTGTAGAAGGGATCGGTTATGTATTGAATAGTCGAAGCAAAACTAGTTATCAGTATTTGTCGTATGTTTGTCGTTTTACGAAATGATGAGATGTTACTGATTTTTACTGAGGCCTGCCTCAACAGAAGTGCAGGACAACTCGTTTGCGTGGATTACTGATCTTGTTCTTTATGAAGGGTGATCGTTTTAGTACGGCTTGGTTGAGGAATTGGCATATGACTATATTTTTTGTTTCTGTTTACTCACAATCGTTTAATTATTAATCCCTTTTCAATAGAGCTAATGATGGAAAAGCCAAAAAAATGAGCTAGCTAACCTTGAGTTGGCCCCCCGTTATTTGGAAACATCGGTAAATTTGATCGTGTGCCTGTGATTTTTTGGTGGTGGACGTTACAAATTCATACTATAACGACGAAATTGTATGCGGAATATAGTGGAGGCAATTTTAATAAGTTATTCTCGTTTCCCCCCGATGTCATGAAATGTATTCGTATTATCGATCCCATAGAAATGGTCGTGATCCTTGGGAGAAATCCATCCGTTTTATTGATCCATTGAAGTGGTTGCGATTACTGGAAGAAATTATAGTGCTATCGATCATTGGAAGAAATCCATCGGTTTTATCGATCTTATAGAAATGATCGTGATTCTCGAAGAAATCCATCCGTTTTTCGATCCTGATGAAGCGGTCGTGATCCGTTCAAAGTGGAATGGGTTTGGCTAGTACCAGCGAATCTTTCTCGGTAGTAAATGTAATAAAAGATGTTTTATCCTCGACAAAAGATAAGAAGCAATCGAATAATTTTTTTTTTAATTTTTTAATTTTTTTTTTATTATGCCCCAATCTTTTTATTTTTATTTTTATTTAATTTATATTTTTCCCCGATCTTTTTATTAATTTTTTGATTTTTTTTTATCCCCTCCGATCTTTTTAATTTTTTTTTTTATCCCCTCCGATAAAATAATTTTATTAGAAATATTAAAATATCAATATTTTTTTATAATTTATTCAAAGTATTTGATATAAATCTTACTTTTGATATAAATCATTATAATAATAATAAAAAATAATATCTTTTTAATTTTTTAAATTTTTTTTATTATATTTTTTTATCCCTTCTGAAAATTTAAATCAATAAAATTAAACTTTAACTTATAATTGAAATTATTTTTCGCAATTCTTTTAGCAGTTAAGAAATAATGAACATGAATTGCCAATTAGTAATTTATAAAACTAAAATGTTGAAATTAAATAATTCTAATTTCGAAAATAACCAGTTTTGTTTGAGAAATTTTCTTTGGAAAAAGAAGATGGCATTTTGAAATATTATGCGTGCTAGAAATATACTGTAACAATAAATATTTATTATTATTGTACTTTCAATACACTCTTTGGAAGTCGTGACCAATTGAATTTTGGAATTTTGAGACAAAACTGGTAATTTATGCTTGTGCTTTGTGTAGAGAATGCTTTAACTCATAGATGTAAGGTTTTTTATAGTCTATAAGGTCACAGTTCGATTTCCCGTCACAAATGTTCCTTTTCAGGAATCCATATTCCCGAAATCACCATGCCATTATCTCGAATCATGAATCCCTATTCCCGTATCCAGAATGTCGTTCTCTAATACCGATATCCTGAATGAAGGAGGTATATATTTTCTTCGAATTATGAATGAGTTTCGAGCCGCGTCACACGAATTTTAATATAGAAAAATAGTCTGCATATTTGTAATATTTAAACTATATTTCCGAGATTTCAAGCGGTATACAGTAAAGATTAAAGCTTAAGTTTTAATTGAAATCAATTAACTATTTTGACTAATTCTATGGGCGCTTGTATATTTCATCGGTTGTCAGTACTAAAGTGGATTTTTGAGACATTATTATCCTGGCTCGATTTTTTAACGTATTTATGGTAATTTTCTTCCCATACTTTGAATTTGGCTGGATATTATTGACCATAAGTGACATTTTGGCATTATTACTTATGTTAATAATTTGTTAGCCTTAAATATAATAACACATACAATTCTAAGTTTCCTTATTGATTGTATGTCTGGCATTGTAATTTGTTAAAAGAAAAGTGAAACTTTTTGATAGTTTCAAGGTATAATTATGTTATTGGTACGCCAATATTTTATAAAAAATTTTTATGAAAGAGATCGAATAAATAAGTAAGTTAATAAAATTACTGAAAATAATCTTCCGGGCTGGGCGGGCCGGCATTTTTGATTCTTGGCTTAAAGTGCAGTGCTTCAAAATTTGGACTATGCAGGCCTCTATTCCAGACATTGAAAGTAAAATATAACAGAGACGAATTACAAAAAGGCCAAAATCTAATCACGAACTAACTGGGTCTGAAATTATTTTGTTATACAGGAAGTATTCATTCTCAAAGTTATTGATGATGTAATTAAGTTGAGGAATAAAATTCTATTCTTCATACAGGATCAAACTGGAATTAATTAATTAACAAACGTCTTAAAAAATATTCACCCACTTCACCTATCAAAAAAAAAAATATCTATTGATTTTAAAGAAAATTTTTTATAGATAATTTAGTCTAATTATAAGCGGGGTAATACCCTTTAAGTAATCGAATAAACGGATATTGAAATTCTGACGGGTTGCAGTTCTATTTTACTTAACAGTATTATTGTAATAGTTATTTGTTTTATATGATTGTAACATATAGAGGATCTAAAATTTTTAATTTGTAATTATGGAATTTTTCAAATGATTTGTAAATACACAAAAAAAAAAAATTTTTTTCTATGGAGATAATCTTTGATCTGAAGGTATTATAAAACGAATGGCGCTCAAACCCTCCCGAAGGTACATAATCACGAATTCTAAATTCCGAAAAAGTATCATCTCGTAATTAAGTTAGCCCTTACGTCTGCAAATTTATTTTGTTTAATATATAGAAACGTATTACATTTATATTATAAAAAGAAATAAAAATTTATTGTGGTTCATCAATTTTGACAATTTTAAGTGATATTCGGACTTAATTTAGCTGCTCTTTGTACTGTGCATCAAATGAATAATGCTACGCCCTTTAAAAAATCCCGCAATGAAAATCCTATGGAGATTACCGACTATATCCCATTCAAAAGCAGAGTTGACATATGACATGGTTATATCAAAATTTTTATGACTTTAAAGTCATATGTCACATGGAAGTTTGCTAGGAAAATCAGGCTCTGGGAATTTTCTAACAAAATTTTGATTTATTGAATTTTAATTTTTGATGCTATTAGATTAAAATGTAATAAGGTCTCAATTTTAGTAAAAAAATTCTCAGCCTGACCTGATTTTCCTAGAAAACTTCCATATGACTAAATGATATAAATCATAATGTCAATAGGTTAACTAACTGGAATTATAAGTAAAATAAAAAATCGTCTTCTTTGGTAGACTTGAACGTTACATTTGTAACTAAATTCCCTTTATGGATATGATTTCATTAATATTTCCGGCAAAATATAATGCCGGCCTAATTTAAGGAATATTTGACAAAGTCATAAGTCATGACAAATGGCTTATGACAAGTCATATAAGTCATATGATGTGAACGTTCTTTCACATGAAATTTTTTATTGTAAATTAAAATAATTTAAAATGGAAATTCAAAAAAAAAAAAATGAGAATGGTATAGCTTATATTTTTTTATCCGTCGTTTTATTTAAATTGTACTTTTATTCTTTTGTTTTTTTCTTTGTTGCTTTTTTTACTACTTGTTATATTATGATTAATATTTTAAATTTTTTTTCAAAAAACCAAAACAAAAAAATTAAAGCTGTCAAATTGGATCATTGATTTTTTTTTTTAATGAATCATTACACAATCATGAATCTTCCAAAAATCGATCTAATTATAACTTTTCTCCTTAGTTTGTTGTTTTTTTCATTACTCAAATGGTCTATGTAATGATATCAACGATTTAAAGTTGAAAAATGACGGAAGTATCACAGACTACCCCACACTCTACCACATGGATGAAGGAAATATCTATCTCAGGCTGGCAAAGTACATGCACATTGCTTACTTTTTTTTCGTTTTTAATGTCTTAATGTACTGATATATGAAAATCCTTAGTATGCCTTGCGGATCGTCATCTCTCGGGATTCATGTGATGCTACCTAAAGATGAAAATCCATTAACGTTCGATTGGCGCACACTTACTAACGACAGTGTGAAAAATGAAATAATCATCGGCAAAGACGTTGTAAAGAACACCATATTCCGTATTCAAGCAAAAATTCAAGGTTTTAACAATATTAGTTGTTCTACACCTTCTTTCAGCGGTCAAATTTGCTATCCTGCATATATTGAAAATTCTCCACCTCCTCCACCGAAGCCTCCTAGATGTGATGAAGCTTGTGGTTTAATTATTGCAGGTGCTTTAGGATGTGTTTCAACTATCATAGCTGCAATATTAGGATTTTATAAAGGATCCCACGATAAACTTTAAACATTTTCAAACTTTAATAAACAATGACTATCAAATAACTTCCCGAATTTATCCATTACCCGGATTTTTCGCCAAATTGATTTGACAATGTTATTACATATTACATGGCTCACGTAAATAATTTTATCCGGTATCCCGTGATTTTTTATAATTAACAATGACTATAATAAATCGTTTATCAGGCAAAATATCATTTAATAACTTATATTAAGCATTATTTGTATTAATAAAATTACATTTAAAACTAATTAATTATATATAGTACAATTTGTATAATAA